ACGCAACCACGTTTGGAGAAAGATGGACAAGGAAGAGATGAAGAAGCCACCCAATCTTAACCATAATTCCTTTTGCAAGTTAATGACACCCTGAAAAGAGGGGCTATTTGTTTATATTTTCACAGACAAAGGAGATAGGTGGATTTCTCTTCAGCCAGCGAGGCCCAGAAGAAAGGAGGAACGCCCATGCTGTGACGTGACCCCGTCCTGCTTATTGAAGTTACCCAAAACATCAAGAAGACCTCGCAGATTCCTGAGAATGGCGATCGCTGATTGCAGAGATATTTCTTCCATTGCTGATGCCGTCTAAGAGAAACTCTGGGACTCTATCATAACTGAATATTTTATACAATAGTGACTGGACTACTACTACAGACTGTTGCTTTGCTGAAAGATCAAGGTTTTGGACTTGTTAATGCTGTAATGTGATTGGAATGTAACTGATTTCTGTGTAATTCCTTACCTGTATAATGTAACATTGCATGATTGAGATTTGATCAAGAAACATTTGCAAGGGTTTAAGGGAAAACATTTCATCAGATGTAGATCAGCTTAAGAAGGATATTTTCTATACATTCAAAGACAAGCTTGAGGCATCTCCTGGCTCTGATATGATTAAGCAATTGGTGAAAGGCATGGAAGGGTTGGACCCGCGAGCTTGAGCTCAAAGCATTTCACATAGCTTAAATTCTAGTCTGACTGTGTTGTTTATCATCATCATTTTGATGCTCGTAGTAGTAGTCTCATGTCGCTTCTATAGGAAGCTAAGAGATATGAAGAGATCATGTTGCCTCTGTGACACTATTAAATCTTAAACATAGTGTAGAAAGGAGAAAGGTGGGATACTAGCACTAAGGGAAATAAAACTGGGACTTAATCCCTGCCATGTACGGAGGGAATCTGGAAAGCCAGTGTTCCATGGAAAGGAAAGCCGCCACTCTGGAAGTTAGAGATGTAGTCCGAGTATATTTTCCTGCGGTAATCTAATTTTTTTCCACAGTTTCTCCCTCTTATGCTGTGCTGCCTTAAAGTGAGCACATGGATGATTCATTCTCCCCATAGAAGCAGACATTCCTATTTGGCTTTATTTCTCCCCACTGCGGTATCCAATTTCATACCTTCCTCCAATAGAAGATGGGCAGGTGGGGACTTTATCCTCCAGGCCTAGATTCAAAATGTTTTGCTATAAGCCTGAATTTTTGGCTATATTAATTGGATCATGAAGTCTTGCCTTGACAGCTTTCAATGTATAGAAAATAACCATGTAGCCACTGTGGCTCTTTTGAATTTTATATATAAAACAAAAGGGGGACTTGTGGGGGGAGGTCAGATACACAGGCATTCCCTCCCCTGAGGGCAATCAGTTGCCAGACTGCTGTCTCATCCCACCA